TATTCTATAATAATTTGCTATTTTGACACTCTTGTGTTGTCATATTAACACAAGTTTTAACAATAACACTTAAGTGTTGAAACGTTGGCGAAATATTGGAACGTTATATAAAGAAACTGGACTTAAGAGCTAATTAATTTGAAGCACGCGGCGATCTTTAGTTAATGGTCTTTTACTGACCGCATGACAACAAAATTGTAGACCGTTTTATTGCTTGATAACTTCAAAATGACACAATAAAAAACGACAAAGAAATGAAACAATAAGCGTAAAGAACGAACTTGAAAAGGATACAATAAAATACGAAAAAGAAAGAAAACAATTAGCAAAAAACTGCGAGCAGGTTAAAAAACATATATACTCTTATGTCAGCGAAATGCCAAAACGTACAAGAATGTTTGGAATTCTTTGCATTTTACAACTGACAGTTAAGTTTATAAAATTGAGTTTTGACATCAGTGTGTCAAAATTAAAATGTATTTTTTAACTTTAATCGACACGAGCTCAATCACTTCATAAAAATCTAAACATTTAGTACTTGTAGGAAATATGTTCCATAAATCAGAGAGTGATGTAAATGAATTTTTATTATGTATCAATTACATAATAATAGAGTAGTTTCTTTTTCTAGTAAAGTATTCGCTAGTATCGTCTGCAACGATGAATTATATGACAACCGGAAACCAGAAATTCGTCATATCAAAATTGTTAATAAGACTTGATTTAAACCCCAAAATATAAGTAAATAATATGGATTCAGACTCAGTCAAGAGGCTTTCTTACATATGTAACAAATATGAAATATACATTTTGTAAAATTAAGAAAAACAACAACGTGTAATGTTAACACCTTGTCAATAATTAGTCAGACCGATATGAGTATGCTAGTGTCAAAGTGTCAAAGTATCTCCAGTTAGAGATTTAGCCTAAATAGGTGACGCAGATTTAGTGAAAAAACAGAGCATTCTGGCATCATATATCAAGTCATGTAATGATGGAAAAGATAAATAATGTCAGCTTTCCGACTGAGGGACGGGTAGAAAATATTTATAATTCAATTCACATTTAGTTTTGACCCGTAGCGATCTATTATTATCTAGAAGGACAAGACTTTAATCAGTATTTTGACTTTCATCTGACAAATCAGCTGATTTATATAACTAATTCAGTCCCCACTATATCAGACCCTTATCCTCATATTGGATACTTTTCTGAAACAAGATTATTTTGCTACCAGCATATTTTCATTCGTATTTTCAGAGACATACAACACTGATTTAAAGTCATCTTGATTGCATTTTTATTTAATCTGCAGTTTTTTGCTTAGTCATGTTCTGTGTTCTGTATGATTGTTAAATGTAATACTTTTTGTGTGTAGAAATCAGACTAAAGTCTTATACGATATTAAATAGCGCCTCGATATTTGTCTTCTATCATAGCTTATTTCTTGTGTAGTTTGATTCAACATATATAAAATATTTGTACTTAGTGCCTACCAATTAACTGTTGTATGTCGAAAGCTATTGTATTTAGATGAAATTATTCTTGAATACCTCGTGTTGTTACTTGTGCTTGAGAGAAAATAAAAGTATATGTTCTGTTTAGTTGTTCATGTGCCGTCTGTATTACAAAGAAAATGTTTCCGATGTGGTAAAATATCAAATAATTATTTCCGTTTTGACAAATTATCAAGCGTTTCCGGTGTAGTAATTAAATTATCAAGCAAGTGTTTCTATTGTGGTAAGTTATCAAGCAAATATGGTAAATTATCAAACAAGTCTTTCCAGTATAGAAAATTATAAGAGCAAGTGTTAACGATGTGGTAAATTATCAGGCGTGTGTTTCCGGTTCGGTAAATTATCATGCAATAAATAATTGTATAGCTTACTTTAACCCTCTAAAATCCCGCCTCGTGCCACTTCTGATGTGGCAAATAACCTTAATATAAGTAACTACATTTTATATGCATGTATAAAGTGTATTTGTAAAAGGGTGTCAAAAAAGAAAATAGAATAATAATCGGCTATCTTTAACGCGCTTATGTTCAATACAAAACTCTGTCAATGATGACACCATGTTGAATAGGAGAGTTTGCCAAACTGTCTGTACTATTTTCAATATATTCAATACATCGTATTAGACTATCATCAAAATGTATTGTCCACGTTTATAACTTCTCTTTTCACTTTATGACTCTGACAATTAGATCGTAAACACATTTTGTCGTGCTGTATGATTTTATAATAAACCAGACCACTTTCAAATATGATGAAGAATTTCAAGTGCAATAATGACTTTTAATGTTTGGGTAAATAAACTAATATTTGAATAAACGCTGGCTGCTTGTTGAAAAAATATTTTCTTTTAAAGAAGATTGGAAAATGAATCAATGTGATGTGTTTGAAATAGGAGTATATCTGACGCAATTTAATTGTCAAAAAAGAAGACTGAAATTTCTTTCTTAAGCCTTGCAAGGCAGACGTGTAACTATTATAAAAATTATTAACCATAAACTGTATCAATTTATTTGAACAAATTGAAAACATTATTAAAATATGACTATTTAGTTGCATTTGATAACAATAACGTTTATATTTGTTGCACGATCATTAAAATGATGTTGTGTAAGTATAAAGGATTAATGACGTCATCAAAGTTATAAATAGCTTATGTACAGCTTTAATCCGATTTGCTATTCAAGCAATACTCTGGTAACTTCTCGTTTTTCAAAAAAGGAATATAAATTGTCCATGAATTATCATGCAGAAAATTATTGTTTAATGAAACCGTAATGATTACGTAAATTATTCTACACGGATTAATTCCGGGGAGCTGAAATGAAACACAATCTGTTCTGAGCTTTCCTAGAATTACCATATTTCCTGCAGATGTCACAGAGCGGTGTTTAATACATCTACAAATATGTAGCAGAGAGGAAAAACAATCTAAAACTTTATCTACAGACATTAAAACCATACACAAGAAAGATTTCCCTTAATTATAATATTCCAAAGTTATAATGTAGTTTTTCTTTATCGTGGTGACATGTGACTTAAATACACAGAGCAATTTACTGATCTCAAAATTGCTATGGTAATGAGCCAATATCATACAACAACTATCATCTGAATATTTAGCTTGCGCAGCAGTCGTTTACTAGATGTCAATGATTTTGAAACTAAAACTTAACAAATATTTATTACATTTTGCGGACGCAGTAAATGCTACTTTTGCATATTTTCACCTCTTTTTGTAATTTACATGGGTTCCAAGTGCCGTTTATTACGTGTAAAAATTGTCTTCCTTGTTCACTTCACAAGATTTAAACTTTTAATGTATTTTTAAAATGTTCATGAAAATTAACAGAAAACTGGAGGCGTGCTGCTTTAAACTTATTCCTATTTAAAATTGCTTCTAACGACAGCACTAGCACATGATTCTAACAGTTTCTCTGAATCTATTTATCATCAGAGGCTTGTTTCGTTAAGACAATGGAAGAGACCAATTTTGCTCATCTCATTTATAAATCAAAATCATCTAATATGATAACATATCTTATATAACACTGTGCAAGTAAATGAACAATCGTAAATTATTCATGAATTCTATCACATCATAATGGACATTCATGTACCACAGGGGACCGTACGGAATACCCCTATATTAGGTTAATATATATAAGATGGTCATTTAATGCGATTATGTTTACCATAAATGGATTAGGGCCCTTAAATCTATAATGTGTATAATCAGATTTAAGGACCATTTATTTATCTTATCTTTTCAGCTGTATTTTTCCTCTTATCTCTTATCTAAAGCTGTTAATACACAATACATTTATTTATAAACCCTGCATTCCGACATGTATTGTGAACAATGGACTACTAGTGAAATATATACTCTTAATCAAACCCTGTTAAATCACAACAAAAGTTTTCAATGTAAGATGTGAACGTGTAATTATCTGCATTATCTTCATATCTACCATTCGTTGTGGAAACAACTGTTCAAGAAAGTATTTTGATATGCATGTAAAGAACACAGTCAAAAATGACAAAGTATCGGTGCTTACACAGTATTGAACTTGTTCCTTCACGTGTCCTAACCAATAAATAAAGGACACAACCCTCATCGGCATTGTAATTTAATTGTTCTTATGTTACCAATAACTACATTAAAAATCTCGTGCATCACGTCGTGTAAGACTGTCACAGACTGATCAAACTCGTATTTTGAAACAATGACAAGGTTTAATCAATGTGGCAGCATGTATGAATGCAATCATGGACATCTGTTGAAAGGATTAAGGTAATAAACAATGGAATATAACGCGAGATGAAAGACAGCTCTCTAGAATTATTGTTAATTTATTGAATTTCATATTTGTTTCGTGTTTTATGGCTTGAACTCATATAACCTCTCCTCAGCCATATTGATATTGAGAAAATAAAGGTAAAATGTTAAGCAAACATCAAAGTGTTTGTGATAGAGACGATTAATTGGACGAGCTTATTTATTTACTTTGAACTATTGTCCAGACGTTATTGTTTGATGAAAATAATTGATAAAGTATTATATACATCATAAAACAATCATCCATATTTGGGCTACATAGATTTGACAAATGTATTATTTGAAGTATTAATATGTCATATGGCATATAGGTGAAAATATATTCCAAACCTTCAATTAATCATTTCATTTATTTTGTTAAAAAATGAATGTTCTAGAAAGGCACGTGTATTTTCTATTTTTTTATTTACGTGTTTTATTTTAAATTTCATATAAAACGTGTTTCAGATATAATTATGTTTTTGTTGTACGCCACATTAGCGAAATCTTATCTAACCTCAAATAGCATAACATTATACACCCAATTTGTCAAATTGATATGTCTTTCAAACATAATAGAACTAGATTTCAATATGACAAGATAACACTATAGACATATCATGTAACAAACAAGAATAGAAAATGAAAGATTAATATTTAAAACATACCTGTTGAACTTAAACTTAGTACCGTCGTTAACGTTGTGAGAAAAATCCTCACTTTTCTTGAAGTTGACATTCTCATTGGTTAAGCATAATCCGTTTTGTGAAATATATCGTCAAAACTACTATATTCCATCAATTAAACATTGAATCACATCTTCCTTACATATTTAAACTTTAAAACTGTTACTTTACTCACTGACTTTTACATTTTATTTAATCAAAAGGTAAAGCGAAAACCGCATGTCAACTTACATAATCCATTTTAAGATACTTGAATCAACATTATAAAATCGCTTGCGTTTATTTTCACTTTTAAGAGCCTATTGTTAACATGACACTGTAAACCCATATAAAACTGCTTCACTACACCTGAGCTCTACTGTCAACTGTCTTATCGTAAGCGTCTAAAGTGAACTGATCCATAGAGTCGCTGTTACCGGGCGCTCGGTCATGCGCAACGAATGCGATCAATATGGCTACCAGGTATTTTCTGATTTTACGCGTGTTTATCACGCAAAATCTATCAAAACATAAAGATGCGTTTCTCAGTTTCACGATTTTAAGAGAGATCTAACTTCCCGTTGACATCTTTTCATTGTAAGAAAAGAAATAAATGATTTCATATAACACAGGAAATTAATCTTTTAGAAATAATTTGCTGATATTTTATAGAGTGAAACAGAGACTTTAAATATAGCTCTGTGAGTGAAATAACTACAAAAAACTTTGTCAATAATTTAACACTTAAATAAAGAAATCACGGTTACAGAAATAATAATTAACGTACATTTCAAAGAGACTGTAGCTTGGTAAATGTTAGTCAGTTATCAAAAAGTATCAAAGTAGCTACAGTTAAGAATTTTAAAATAGATCGAATATCTAACTAAGTAAACGTTCCTCGTGACCTAACCATTATCTCAGATTATTCACGGACTATACTCGTCTACCGGAATCACGTCGTTTATCTCGGAAGTCACTCTAACCTGTCAACGTGCATATCTAAATAGCCATTCAACATTCCATCACACAAATATCTGTCTATTGAACAAAAGCTTATCAGAGAGGACCTTCAATCTAGATATTGATTAATCGTTACCGCACGATTGTCTTAGTTTAAATATGACATTTTATAGTTCACGTGTGTCAAGGATCAACTGTTATGTTTATGAAAACTTCATCGAATAAACTAAATATTTATATTGCAAGAATAGTTTTAACTACAAAAAATTTCTCTAAGTGTATTTGACATCAAATGTACAGGTACTGATTCCAGTAGATTTGTAATGGCATAAATGGTCTTATAAAGTCTGTTTAAAGTCGTTTTTTAAAGAAACCAAAGAATTCCTCAATCTCGTCTTGGATAAATAAAGAGGACCCACTGTCACATTGATGATGAAAATCAACTGGTGTCAATCATGTTACAACTCCTAAGCATAAATATTAATATCATTTTCAATGTATCCCCACATTGCAAATTTATTCAATTTAGGGTTTTAGTTTGAAGTGTCAGTACTGATAACCTTGCATCTCTCACGCGGAGGAATATCCAGCGTTATCCTAGAGCGCCCCCTACATGATGTAGTTACCATGTCGGAATACAAGACCTTTCATTATTATGACGTGACTATGCAGGAAAAATAAAGACAATAACTTTTATGTCTCGGATATCTTGCCAGTTTTATTATTGAAACAATTTAAGTAAATTTTATTAAAGCATACACGTTCTGTTCTGTGTTTTGTTCACTATTATGCTAAATAAGATTCATTGATAAAAGAATAATTTGTTAAAACTCTAAACAGAATATTTTTCTTATGGTGAGGAAATGAAATATTTCAAAAGTGACACAGTTACAACCTCTGATTGATCTAATAAAAAAAATTAGTATATTTTTAGACCCTGAGAAATTGCTTTTTAAACAAATCAGAAGAAATCGCTTTATTTAAGAATATGTTCATTGTCGTAAATAGAAAATGACGAATAAGATTAACATGTGAATACTCTGTCATTAAATTAAAATTTGTAATTTTACCTGGCAAACATCATTAAGATAATAAACAAATTTCTATTCAAGCATTCCTGTTATTCAAAATTCGGGTACTTGGGTTTCCTCAAGGAGGCGAAAAGGTTCTATTGTACGAGTGTTTACATTAGGCGAAATTAATTCAACCGAATTTGATTTTTAAACAAAAAAAAACAGACCTTTTCACCCTTTGTGACCTCTATTGGCCATTTGTCAGCGTCTGTGAGAAAGTCTGTGACATTGTAGCTAAAACAATGCGACGGGAGACGGCGAGAAATGGATTTTTAAGCCGGCTGATGTTGTCTCTGTCGTCCCAACTCCCAAGGTAGTGATACATTGAGATTGAAACACGGAGTTATATCGTAGAGGATCTGTTAGCAGTGGATATGGCGTGATGCGAGACGCATTGTATACATTGCATTGATCAAATGCAATGTCTTCTCATTTCCAATGCACAAAATCACAAAGATTTTAATTATTGATGGCTCACCTTGCGTTATACATTGTACGTGAATTCAATTTTTAAAAGTCGTTATCGATTTTATTTTCACTCACTTTAGATGATCGTTTACCATATATTTTTTTAGAAATTTAATGTTATAACATAATTTGATAATTATGACTTTGACTTCTAAATAACATTGAACTTCAAGGTCATTTTATTTTCTCTCAAAATAATGATATTTCAACATAGCTTTGATACTGATGTATGGTATTTATAATTTACAAACACATCTCATTTTTTTTTTATCTGAAATGTGATTGTAACATTTATGCAGTCATAGAACTAATAATAAAGATGCCATACTGGTATTTAGCGATTTAAGGGAACACATTGTTCATACAACTGTGAAATGTGGGGCACAATTCCACAATTCTAATGCAATATCTGAGCAAATATATTTTATAAATATAAGATAATAATAAAGTGAATCTGCTGATTTCACATCATAACACAATATACTTTACAGCCATAGAAAGGATTGAAAAGAAGATTCGCCAAGAAAGAGAGGAAGAGGAACACCATTTGCTAACAAAACTTTTGAAAGTAATTTCAAAATCAGATGAACTATTTGATAATACAGATAATATTTAGAATATAACACACGTTGAATTCTTGTTTAACTTCTGTGATAATCATGCATTTCGTACAGCTATATTTCAAGGTCTATGCAATGATATGTCTGTGGAGGGGCACAATTTATTGACGATAATCTAATAACAAATACAGCAAATAGATAAGTTGGATATATAATATATTTGATTTATTTAAGACTTTGAGAGAACGCGAGGTATCAAGTGGTAATTTTGTCAATTATATGACTCATCATTTGATTATTGTCAATATTTTATGACATAACCTGTAGTGTGATATTTTAATATTCTTGATATAATGTCATAATCGTTTAAACAAAAATATCTCCTGCGTGGAAAGAAAAAAAATCTTTAACAGGTACACAATGCATTCTTGTCTGGCTTTTTAAACTCGGTCATAAAGTGTAAATAACGGTAAAACTTAAAGTAAAGGAATGTCAGAATAAAGATCAACAAGGTAGTGCAACGTTCACGGAACGAAAAGATTCAGCTTCATAGGACCTCACTAGAAAGGAACCCAGTGGGCCACCGGAATCCAAACATGATCGGATTTATTTTAGCCTTAAAAACAGCCTTGTTATGGTTTGAGGGATGTAGACTTGTTCATTATCCATGAAATACAGACTCAATCACACCAGGCTTTCAATTTTCACGTTATTCTGTTGTGATTAATGCTTCCGAGGGATCACACTTTTCCCAGATTTTTTAAAGTTTTATTAAATTATCTTTTCTTAATAACATTTGGATAAATATATGCAGGTACTCTTTTATACCTCTATATAAGTATCTAGATTACATAAAAACAGTAAAGAGAAGATATATAAATATGGAAATTGTTTCCTATATATAAACCTGAATGAATTTATGAATTTGTGTTTTTTTATATATACATGTACTCACATGTAACTAAAGCATTAATATTCAAGTATTTTTGGCAATAGACAGATCTATATATGTTAATGATTATAAAGTCATATTGCGAATAAAGCGAGCATAGCGATTTTACAGGGCAATTTATATATAATGTCATAAGAACTTTATTGATTAAAATGCACTACTTTGATTAGCACGATTGATTTGAAAAAAAATATTTGTTTCTGCCATCTAACGTATGATTATATAGCCATTTAAGATTTATCCATCGATTTGCTAACCCGTGCAGAAATGAAAAATCAGGTGTGTGTTATGAGAGAAAAATAACATTTGGTGAAAAGGCTTAACTTGTAATTACTATCCCGGTGTTATTTCCCGATAATGGAAAATCCGTTTGGATAAAAGAATAACGTATAGTGAATATCCCTGCAGGTTTTCTCCGAGTATCATTCAACAATGTTCATTGTAGTGAAGCTTTCTCTACAATGCATGCAATCATCTTTTGTTTACGATGTGTAGTTATAAAAATGAAATAGAAAAATGAAATCAGAACTCTGTTAGAGCATAAGATTTTATTTCAAATTTATTTAGTAATTCAGTAAATTACAGATATCAATTTTTGTAAATAACTTAGATGATTGATGCCAAATGGATTGGTTTGTTTGTTTGTTTGTTTGTTTCATTTAACGCCTTTTCCAACAGTATTTCAGTCATATAGGCGGGTAGTTTCCTAACCATCGTTCCTGGAAATGGATTGGTCTACAATGGGCACATTTTTCATAAGTACGAGGGTTGTCCTAAAATGTCGTGGACTACATTATTTTCTCGTATTTCAAATATTGATAAAACAGTAGAAATGTATCATTTGGATATTCATATAAAATATTTCTTGGGGAAAAAACGTTGATAGAGTTATAAGTGATTTCGTGTGAACATGTATACGAAGAGTAATAATATTTTTTTCTTGAACAATGTAATCGTCTAAATATTTGACTAAAATGTAATATGCGATTATGTACCCCACACTTACCAACAATATCAATATATAATTCTTCTGCATATTGTTGTCACATATGATTACTAAATACTATCAACATAATTATTTATGGTTCAACAGACCTTCCATTATGAAGCAATTCACTTTAAGATAAAGGAAACACTGTTGTATTTTAAAATGTTTAAATTTAGGAAATAAAGACCATAGTAACTGAAAACTAAAATTTTAGCAATAGGTTACAAGTTCAAACGATATTTATCAAAGCGGTAAGTATTTAACAGACTAGAACTGAAACAAATCAAGTATAAGATAAACAATATATTTAGCAAGACTTAAGAACGACTGATATAAAGCAAAAGCTAAAATGTGATACATTCTTGCAACTCATTGAAATATTGTGCCTTTCCCTTTTTTGATAAAATAAGGAAGAAATCACACCGACTTCAAAATAGAGGTTTGGCAGATTTGTTTAAGTAAATCAGCTATTTGTCAGATGAAAGTAAACAGTAATCTAAATATGAAAGTCGATTTTGTGCTTTAATCGCTTCAGATATTAAGTTATCCGCGGAAAAAAGAAGACCAAAGAC